GGTGACGAAGAACACGAAGACTGCTCTGAACTTGACGCAATACTTCGAGCAAGACGCTGCAAAAAGGATGACGAGCCACAACCTCTAAGTAAATATAATATTTCTGCAATAAGTAACTGAAAAAGGCGTAACTCATTAAAAAGTTTCCAAAAATTATTTTTGCACGCCATGATATTTACCAGTTATAAATGCTGGAATGGCAAATTTGATACTGTGCCTGGATGAGTTGCACTTGTTTGAATAATGTAGTCCACTATTCGATTTAAGTATGGTGTCCATTTCCTCGATGGTGCTTCTTATTCTGGAGAAATCATCTAATTGAAGCGCCTGCTTCTGAAGTGAAAACTCTTTTATTTTCGATAATACCTGTAATTTTAAAAGCGAGAATCAACATTCAAAATGTTTCCAGGAATTTCATATAGAGGTCCAAAAATACTACTGATAGATTGCGAACGACAGCAGGATAAAACGTTTTCATCCGCTATTAACCGTGGAGTAGTTTACATCAAGCCACTTAATCAGTATGACATTTCATTTTGACGAAACCAATTAGTCAAAAATACATTGAATCATGAAAGCGTTTCCAGCAATTCCAATCACAGCTCTTGAACATCATGCCGACATCTTGATTGTCGTCGGCATGAAAACTCATCGTAGTCCTCAATTTTAGGTATTTTAATAATTATCATCAATCGGATTACTTCCTTTCAATAGAATGCGAAGAACCAGCACCAGAAGATGAAGCACAAATTGAAGACACATGTGCCACCGATAAAAGGAAGAAACCTTGTGAAAACCCGGAAAAATCTGAGTCTGAACATCAAGATGACCTTTGTCTTCCGGTTTCGTCGTGCACGGAAGTTTTTCCTTACTCCCAAGTTTGCGGAACAGCATCCGGCCATAAGTTGATTTACAAGTATTCAAGAACCATCGTTCAAGAAAAACCCGACGAAACGGAAACTGGAATTCGAGCAAAGAATCAAATGTCGATCGATGCGATACCGAAAAAGAAAATTTTAAAGCCTGTTAGACCGGAACGCAAAAAAATCACTTAAGAAATGCATTCATTATTTCCATATTCTATCTATTTTTGTACCAAATTGGACTGGAAATGAAAGTTGACTAAGCTCACAGGTCCTTTTATACCTTCACTTTTTTTCTCAGCATGAGGACCCCGGTCATTTCCAGGATTTTCCATATAATCTACGTTCACTGCACGAAAATTTAAACCAGAAAATTTTTATTGCTGTTTTATCATTGTTTTTTCATTATTAGAAGACAATATTTCATCGCTTCCTTTTAAAAATTAAGAAAAATATCGATCACGGAGGTGGATCACATCTGACAATTAGTGCGCAAAGCAATTAACAAAAACCTCTGATACAGTTCCCCAAAGATTAAAAAATACATCAAAGAAATCAAACATTGAAGTGAGCAATTTTCAACATTTGAGAAAAAAATTTGGTTTGTTGAATCGATGCGAATGCCATGAGCTGAACATTATTCGGCGCTACGGACATTTAAACGTTCCACCAAAGACGTTCAACTAACGGCTTTTACATTCGAATTTCACTAAAACTTTGGCGAATGTATATTAGCAACATGACGAATTAATACAGCCCTGTGACATATTTTTTTTAATGTCATAAAAGAACGTGTTAATCGATTCATCAAAAATTGCTGTACAAACGTATTTCCAAAAGATTTCAAGCAGATAACAGCTTCAAAGCAGACAACAATCCCCTGTGACAGGAGAATAACATTGACCAAAAGATTCGTTACCCGTTTCGAAAAATATTCATACCACCATCATAAGAAAAAAATTAAATATTCCAGTTCCAATTAAATATTAAAGTTAGTTTTTTATTCCACAAGTTACAACGATTGATACTCCTTCCTTGTTTTGACTACAATTTTATCCGGAATGTAAAGGATGAGAAGCACTTCCTTATCCTTCCTTTAGGAAAAAGTTCCTTTATTTCTAATTTCGCCAATTTTCACGTGCCCTTGGACTGATGAGTCTTTCGTTTTCGCAGGAAACCAGCTTCAGTTTTTTTCCTTTCATCACACCTCTCTTCACGCTAGCTCCACAAAAGCAACTCACTCATTTGTCCCACATGAAAAAAATTATTTGAAAAAAAAAAGTACATCGAAGTGAATAACAAATCCCGGTGACAGAAGAACCATGTCCGAGGAATTTTTTACTCGATTCGGGCAGGCTTATGTTCAAGCATCATAAAAATGCATATTCAGAACCGTCGGAATCTAAACTAGGGAAATTCAGTCCGAAATACTCAGTTGGTAACAAACCCCTGTGACAAGTAA